GAGAGATCTTTCGACGTGATGGACCTTTTGTTTGCACAATGGTCTCGTTTGCTGTTGCTTCAAGTTCAGCGTGGTATGTGAGCTATGAATGTACAGGGTTTGGACAATCCACAAGAATGTGACATGTTGTCATCCGACTTTGTAACAGAGAACAGTTGCCTATAGGTGCACAACCAACATAGCCGGAGGGCTAGCTCCTATATACAAGCATGCACGCCAAACCGTCATATCCGCAATCATGCTTACGTACACAAATCAAATGTCCTGGCAACCTAGAGAAGAGCGCAGAATGAGTCGGACGCAAAGGCTAATGGAATGGACGGACTCTTATTTCTTCAATGTTTGCCAACCACACAAGCTGTCTTCGTGTCTTTTAATGGCGTACGCTGCGTACAGTCTCACATGCAATATCTCAGCAACTCGAGCACTTCCTGCTGACTTTAATTCGCTAGTTGCTACTTATAAACGGTCCATGCAACTACTGGGGGCGTGTGGGAAACTAGGGACATCAAACCGCTTCTTCTCACTCACACACAAACTCAGGACCTGGACTCTTAAAACCTCTTGAGACCTCTTTCTCCCTTGGAACATCCTCCAGCGATCCTCTTAAACCTCAGTTACCCTGCCGTTTTAGCAGATGAGCTGGGCACTGTTGCAACCAATGACGATGTTGTTAAAAGCCGCGCTCGGGACGCCATTTTGGTGGGATTGGCACCAGTAGCCGACCTCGGTGTGGCCGTTGCACATCTTCACGCAGCACCCGTCACCCACCGCAGACGTCCACCCGTGCACACGGGGTGGAGGTTAACGAAAAGTCCCGGGCACCGAACCAGCAGGGGAATGAAGCAATGCTTGCTTACGAGAGTGGACCACGTAACACGCCAGGACAGATTAAATTCAAACAGGTAAGGTTCGTTCAATTCAAGGAATAGACCGAATAGAACGAAAGGGGTAGAGACAGGCTGACTTTTGGGAACAACAGGGGGGGGCTGCCTCAAGAAAGAACGGAAGTTTTTTTGAGCAAAAGACTTTTGAAAAGGTCTTTTGGACAGTCAGTACGTAACTTGATTCAGACAAATTTTTTCATGGGCTGGACAAGAGTACGAAGCAATCCAGCTGACCATATCTGCTTACATAACGTTTCTCACTTTCAATGCCTCCTTCTGAGTAAGCTGAGCTGTTATGTAAGCAAGCAGTTTACCAGGTTAAATGATAGGGCCTTGTATTTTACAGGCAGCGCCCCTTTTAATCACGTTGACCGTTTCTCCCCTAAAGCTAAGTCCGCAAAGTGCTATCTGTCTGCATGCGCGAATGCAAAAGTCCTATTCAAGCCATGGTGGGTTCGGGTGCCGGCGACCCAATTTCCCCATGGTACGGTCGGAAGAATTTTGCAAGCGCCGGTCGCTTATTATTCCACGCCATGACTTCATCCTGACTCTCAAACCTATTCACCGGCTGCAATTGCTCCGGTTGCCCTTTCGCCGCCGCCAACTCCGCTTGTCTTGTCGCAAACTCCTCTGTGACCTTCCGCGACGCTTCCGCAAGATCCGTTTTGACCTTCCCGTCGACGTCCACAAACTTTCGACAGGCGGTGAGAACCGCCGAGTGGAACGCGGGCGCGTTGTCCATGAAAACGTAGTGCCCAGCAGTGGGTACTCGGATGACTTCCCCCGGGACAGTCATCGTTTTGGTCGCCAACTCGCCTGCCCGGTAGTCCATCCAGTCTTGCATGCCGTAGATGAAAGTGGTCGGTACTTTCAAATCGGCAACCCTACAGAATCAAGAAAGGGGACTCAGGATGGTAATCAATGTTACTGAGCACAGGAACTCGGGCTTTGAAGGATTCGTTCTGCTCGATACAGACACAAAACTGGGCGAAAAAGGAGAAAGAGATGATTAGGGACGGGAATGCTCATCAGTTTGCCCTGCAGCTGTAAAGCATTCCGCAACCCAGGAAAGCAACACCTTAGGAACAGCATTACACACGTGGCAAAGACCAAGCGCAGCTCGTTGAATTTTTTCTCTTCTATCATTAACATCGTCAAAGTCTCCACTCCTTGATGCGAAGCTGTTTCTAGATACCGTCCCCTCCAGCCGTTCTGATGTGCTCAACCGAGACGGGATCATTACGTTTCTGCAGAAGCACGAGCGACCAGAACTTACAGAGACCCTTGTGACATTAACCCCATCCAAGCTGCAGCAGATGTTAGATAATGATATTCAACGTGTCTGTACTCAAGCGAAGCCCAATCAAGAAGCTCAAAAAAGCAATCCAGAAAACTTTGGATACCGCGCTAGAAAGAGCTAAGAAGACAACGTACTAGAAATATCTTTCAGGAGCCTCAGTGGAACGGGGATAAACATTCAGATCAAGCAAGCGAGAGATACATCGCAATCGAAACAGTACTACGTACTACCCTTTGTCATACACAACTGCCAGCAGCTCGAAAACGAACCAACCCGAGTCGTCCAGCAGCTGACGTTCAGAAGGCCTAAAACAGCGGCCTCACAATCATCAGGAAGGCATGCAACATGAAGCACACGTAGTTCGCCAGCCTAAAGACATGACGTTAGCAGAGTGAGGATTCTGCCAGGGCTTTCTGGACACGATGTCAGCAGTCTGGAATGCCTGGTTGGAGTTTCGAGACATGACGTCATTGGCATGGCGAATGTGCCACCTACTTGTCCAATAGTGGTTTCCTGGCGTACGCCCCTAGTTGGAATATGTACTTGAGGGCGAGTTCTCCGCTACCCCTTGCCGCAATCGTGTGGTACATGTACTCAGTAAACAAGTCCCGCTCGCGATCGGTGAACGGCTCCCCCTGGGCGCGGCTTCCAAACCGGGCGCTGGTATAACCCCTTACAAACCGGGGGCCTATGGGACCAATCGACCTGGGGGGTGGAGACGATCCAATCAGACATCAGCATGAAATAGCGGGCGTTGGTTGGCTAATTTGAGGAGAGAGTGAAGCAAAAGAAAAGGAAACTTGGGAAAACGACCTCCCCTCAGTGCGCTGCTGGTGTAACGCTCTTACAAACTATGGGCCTCTAGGGCCAGTCACCCTATTAGGGTGCGGACCATGTTAGAGAATCAGAAGATCATGTCAGAAATTGCTTATATAGCACACGAGTTTCGGCAACTGCATGATGTTGTTCATAGAGTCTGCGAAGTAGACCTCCGAACGCCACAAGAGGGAAGAATCTTCTGCAAATTGCCGCCCATGTTACTCCCGACGAAACGGGACCTAACTCCACCAATGGACCTGATGAGAAAGATGGTTAAAAAGCGACTAAAGCGCCACTAACCGTGCATCCCCTGTAGATTGGGTGCCAAATCGACCAATCGACCGAAGGGGGACAGAATGCACTTCCTGCGGAGTTGACCGACTACAAACAGTCACTGGTTTCGGAATGAAGAAAGAAAGAAGGCAACGGAACAAGAACTTACACAGGCGCGTTCCAACAGGACCTCACACAACATAGAAGCTTACGAAACCAAGCGAGGAAGGAAAACCGGGTGAAAGAATGGGAAGCGTGATACGTGCCTGGATAACAATCAATAAGAGCTGCACGCTCTTCCCGTATTTCGGGAAATTGGACTTTTGTAAGTTTACCCCCTCTGCACCACCGTGATGCGAAACGAGGGGTTAACCACTTTCGCAAGAGACACATTCTACTGGACCCGCTGAAGGCACACTGATGTGAGGGATCTGACAAGAGTACGTCGTTTGGAACGGGTTCTCAAGTCAGGAGCAGCGGTCTCACAGGTCTAGTGAGATTCATGAGCAGGACTCCGCCTGCATAGCTGACTGCCAAAACGGAAAATCCTCAAAAGACAATGCAAAACTCACACGTTTCAAAATAGTGCGACACACGCCACAAAAAACTACCCTCTGGTCAAGTGCAATCCGTGCGAACTTCAGAAAAAGGTAATCACGGCAGAAACCCCTAAAGCCTTAAAGCCCCAAAACCCTAAAGCTTTTACATCTAAAAGCCTAAAACCCTGACCCAGCGCCAAATGCCCACAACCGACCTGATAAAGCCCTGGGGAGTCACGTTGCTCTCCCAGATGAAGTTCGCTAGAGAGCCCTTCCACGTCTTCTTAAAGTTGTCCAAGGTCTCCCCCGCGTGCCCTACCCCCGCGCACCCAACTAGGATGAGGTGTTGTATGTGGTCTGGATACTGGGGAAAACGAAGTCGTAATGTCGTTACAGAGAAGAGAAAAGGGGCTTATGGTATCAGTAGGTAAGTCCGCATTATCGTTCATGCTTGCTCGAATGAGCCCCTTGCAAAGACGGGGAAAGGCTTGCCAGGGCAAAGGCTGTCCCGTAACGCAACACAAATCAATACGCGGTATTGAGTTTGCCACCGACTTTTCTTATGTTGAAGAAATGACATGTGTGCGAATACGGGAATCCGAACCCCAGGTGTTTTTGCGAATCCAGCAAGCTAAGTAAGGAGAATCTGAGTAAGATTCAAACCACGTTTGTGCAAAACAATTGCAGGCTTTTTGCAGAAAAAAACCTTAGGGTTCACCGTTATAAGCCAAATTTTCGACAGGAATCTCTTCCTGAAGGACCCAAACGTAGTTATTTAAGTCGACATCGAGGTGCCAAACGTTACGCTTCTCAAATTTTCCAGATCAGATTAATCCTTTTCAGGTACCCTATGCGGCTGCCGTGGGTCAGCAGATGCTCCAAATTGAACACTTTTTTTCGAATCGCTAACTGAACACATTACGCCGAAAGCCAAGTTTGACTTGAAGAAGCGGACCTTTCATGCCGGTCGGCATGGTCAGCATGGCCAACAAAGAACGTACCTTAAGTGCGTATTGCGCCGACATATAACCCCCAAACGAGTGGCCCATGAGTACCATCTTTTCAATTTTCATCGCCTTCCGCCACTCCTCCAAAGAATCAACAAAGAAGGCCTCCGTCTCTGCAAGAAAGAAGCACACCGTTTGTTTACCATCTTCTTGTTAACCATCTCCTTGTGAACCGCAAGCGAACTGCAGTTCGTTTTTCCCAAACCTTCGGAGGGATACGAATCATTACGGGTGGCTGGCATCACTATGCGCTATGCGCTCCCGGAGCAAGGGGGCTAGATTCAGGAACGGATTACCCCCTGGTTATGTTTCTTCCGAAATAGGGGGTCGAAATGTGAAACCCGTGCGAACATTTGAAGCGCAAGCGGTCAGGATCAACGACGAGCGCAAGACAGGAACAGCCAACATAGGAATATGCTCGCGAACAATCGAGTGACGTCCTTCGATGTGTACAAAAAGGATCAAAGGCCCGGATCAGTTTGAGCATATCAGACCAATGGTTGGAACGTGGATACGTCTATCGTTTTGCAACAAGCATACCGTTTCCTGCTGGCTTATCTCCAGACCTTCCCATAGAAACTACAGCGTTCGATGTGAAATATTGAGTTTGATAAACAAGAAGCAGAGTTTATTCGTTCCTTTGAGTGAAGGTCCTTGATCAAATGGAACGGCACTGGATTCAAGTCATTGTAGAAATCTAAGGTACCAGACTTGACACATTTGTATGACCTTCTGCCTGTGAAAAATGATTGGCCCGTCCAACAGGCCCTCCTTCAAGGCTCAAAACGCCTCAGAAGTTGACCCAGTGTTTCTCAAGATTTCCCCCGAAGGCTTCAACTTCGCCCTCAAATGAAGCGAGAGAGCGCGAGATGTTCAAAACACCAAAGAAGACTTGTGCGCCAAAATCTCACCTTCTGTATTTTTCGGTGTAAACTCCGGCCTGCTTGATGCGCCCCACCCCAGCATGTCCACTGCGTGCACCTTAAAGTACTTTCCGAGAAAATCAAAGTTTCTGCAGGCAAAGATAAGGTCAAACTCAGCCGACCGTCCATAAACAAACGGATGGCTCGTTCAGACAACAACTCGATTCTTTGACTGGCACAGACGTAACAATTCTGTTGCCTCGCCTTGCTGATCTACTTTGGCCAATGTCACCCGAAGAGTTTGGGTGACGATTCTGGTCGGTGGTTCGTTTGGCAAGCGGAACGGAATGGCTTTCCAATATTCAGCCGAAAGATAACATGGATTGCCAAATTTATTGCTTGTTCTGAGACGATGTGAAGTCTCTCGAAAAAGCCGAATGTACAAAACACTGGAAAGCCTTTCCCATGCATTAAAAGGTGACCAACGGCACAAAATGAAGCAGACAATAGCTCAGATCAGACTATAACGTCTTGGAGCGCTAATCCGCGATCCATCAAAGGAAGTGCCAGATCTGACAAGTTCCATAAAGAGAGACTGATGCACAGGGATCACAGACCACACTCTCTTTCAGCAACACGGTGAAAAATACTCTGATCTCTTCGCTGGATTCAACACAAGCAGATTCCTAGTAAAGTATGCAGATACAGAGTATTGAAGTCAAGGGTTTAGACTGACCGGAGCCCTAACCGGTCAGTTTAGGACTGACTCCGATGCACTCCGGTCAGGCCTGAAGCGACCGGTTAGGACTCCGGTTGGTCCTCAGTCTGAGAAATAATGAAACCTCGTGGCGTGCTATGCAAAT